TGTAGTAAATTCAGCATTTTCAGCCCTAAAAAAATCAATTTTTGATGAAATTCGGCTGAAAACGACGATTTCTGACTCTGAAAATCAATTACAGCACTTTCAGACCCCTTAAAATCTTTAAAAAGTCGATTTTTCCATGAAAATAGCTGAAAAATGACGATTTTTGACTCTGAAAATCGCAAAAATGCATTTTCAGCACTTCCAGACCCCCCAAAATCATCTAAAAATCAATTTTTCAGGCGTTCAACGAGGCGTGCATCTGGTGTGAGAAGAATCTATCCGGAAACCAACGAGCCACATTCGAGAACCCCATCTACAAGTTCGCCATCCAGAAGTTGGTTGATAAGACGAAGGATAAGGCACTGATCAGAGGATGGAAGCGTGCTCAACAGGTCGAATATCGACACGAGATGGCTGAGAAGAGACGGGCGGTCTACTCACAGTATGAGCCTCAGATCAAGGCTTGGTTCAATGAGGTAAGGGTAGAAAAACAGGGAAATCGACTGAAAGTGGTCTTAATTTGACTGAGAATAGTCCAAAAATGTGGAAATTTGGCTGAAAATAGTCTAGAATGGGCTGGAAACAGTCTAAAAAGATAGATTTTGGGCTGAAAATGGTCTGGAACTGGTCCAAAAAGGTGCAAATAGACTGAAAATGCCAATTTTCAAGCTCTAAATCACTGAAAATGAGCCACAAATAGCTGGAAATCACGTAAAATGGGCTGAAAATAGCATAAAATACCCCAAAGAGTCGGTCTAAAATCGTCCAAAACCGGCCTAAATTCGACTGAAAATGATCTAGAACAGGCTGAAAATGCTCAAAAATGCCAAATTTCAAGATGAAATTCGCTGAAAATCACTGAAAAAAGATCCAAAACCGGTCTAAATTTGACTGAAAATGGTCTAGAATAGGCTGAAATTCCCTAAAATTAAGCTTAAAATGGCGATTTTCTGACTGAAAATAGCCAAAAATACCCCAAAATCGGTCTAGAAAGGTCCAAAACTGGTCTAAAGTCGACTGAAAAAGGCCTAGAATAGGCTGAAAATGCTCAAAAATGCCAAATTTCAAGCTGAAATTCGCTGAAAATCACTGAAAATGCTCAGAAATGTCTAAAAATAGCTGAAAAACGATATGATTTGGTCTGAAATCCCGTTTTTTTTGTCAATTTTGGACCATTTGCAACCGATTTTCGACTATTTTAAGGGATTTTTAGCCCATTTTCCACGATTTTCAGCCATTTTTAGATGATTTTTCATCGATTTTAATGATTTTCGCGATCTTAACATTCCCTACATTTCCAGGACATTGCACTCGACGATCTGCTTGTCACCAGCACTACCCTGGACTTCCCCACCAACGCCAAACGCCTGGATTGCGACGCAGAGCTGTTGAAGTGTATGGAAATCGCTCAATACTTCGTCTCGATGCGCAAGATCCTGCTCTGGAACGAGAACATCAGTGCTGAGCAATTGCGAGATGACCTCCATCAAGGGCTCGAAGGCTTCCGACGGTCCACGTACAAGATGATTGCGAATCTTCTGGAGACGGCACTTCAGGAGAAGGAATTCGAGAAGGTCGCCCATTGCAACGCCCGTCTATCAGAATTCCCGATCACGGAGCACACCGTCTCCGAGCTCATCCACGCCTTCTTCATTGGGAACACCGAGACGAGCTTCAAACGAGACGCCAAGAAGCAGAATCGAATGGCTGGATACGTGATGGAAGAGGATTCAGAAGAGTCGGAGCATGAGGAAGAGGCTGAAAATGAGCCAAAATCCGAGGAAAAGGACCCCGAAAATGGTCAGAATGGCCCCCAAATCGACCCCAAGCCCGAGGAAAATGACCCAGAAGACGTCGAGGATTCTGAAGAAGTGATCCGTCGGCAGCGAATCCTTGCTATGTTCCAAAACCCCGCCCACATCTACGAATGGGCTCCGGCGGAGCAGCTAGAGGTGCTCTATGAGCTCAAAGAGCTCGTCCACGACCTTCCAATCATTCGGGAGTGGTACTTGAGAGATGCGAACACGGAGCAGCTCACTGGGCTCAAGGCAGCGGCGAATAAGATTGCCAAGAAGGTAGGCATAGGGCTGGAATTGAAGAAAAGGGATTGGTCCAAAAATGACTGAAATCGAAATTTCGAAGCTCTAATATGTCTTTTTGGCTGAAAAGTGAAACAAAAATTGTGGAAAATCGTCTGAAAAATCATCTGAATATGACCTGGAAACGCTCTGAAATATGATCTAAAACACGAAAATTGTGGAAAACCGTCTGGAAATGGGCTAGAAAAGTTGAAATTCAATGCTTTGGGATTCAAAAATGCTGAAAATTAGCTGAAAATCCACTGAAAATGGTCCAAAAATGGCTGAAATCGAGATTTGGGGACTCCAAAAAATGTCTTTTTGACCTCAGGAAACGTTCATTTTGGCTAGAAATTTTGTTAAAATTAACCCAAAATCAAAGCTTTCAAATGATCTGAAAATGGGCTAGAAAAGTTGAAATTCAATGCTTTGGGATTCGAAAATGCTTAAAATTGGCTGAAAACCCCCTGAAAATGGTCCAAAAATGACTGAAATCGGGATTTTGGAGCATAGAGCCCCTATTTATAACCTCAAAATCCCTAATTTGCCCCCCAGAAACCCCTATTTTGGTCCTAGAAATCCCCATTTTGACCCCGAAAACCAGATTTCAGCCCTGAAAATAGTCCATTTTGACGCCTAGAACCCCATTTTTGCACCAAAAAACTTCAATTTTGACTCTCGAACCCCCATTTTTAGACATTCAAAATTGTATTTTTGGCGCTAAAGACCCCTCATTTTGGCGCCCTAAAACTCACGTTTCGGCACCTAGAAACCTGATTTTGAACCCTACTTTAGGCCTGAAAATCCCTCATTTTGACCCCTAAAACTCCATTTTTGGCACCTAGAAACTTCCTTTTTTGCTCTAAAATCTCATAAACCCCTCATCTTGGTCCTAAAAACTCCATTTTGCCTCGAAAATCCTTCATTTTGACCCCTAATACTCTGCTTTTTGCTCTATAACCCCTCATTTTGATCTCAAAAACCCCCATTTTAATCCCAAGAAACCCCCTATTTTGACCCCTAAAACTCCCATTTTCGTCCTAAAATCTCATTTTCATCCCCCCAAAAAATCAATTTTGGTCACCTAGAAACTCCCATTTTAGCCCTAAACGCCTCATTTTAAGTCAAAAAACCTTCAAAATCTCGATTTTTGACACCTATTAGCCTAGTTTGTGACCATAAATCCTCAATTTTGGCACCTAAAACCCATATTTTAGCACCTGAAATCTCCCATTTTGAGTCCAAAAAATCCCCTAAAAATCGCTATTTTCCAGATCGAGGACTTCCAACAGCAGCTAGCCGATCTCCCTCCAGGCGGAATCACCGAAGCCATGTCACGTCATCAGACGCGCGAGATGGAAAAGGTGATAAAGAAGAGGCAGAATCTGGAGAAGGCGTTGGACGATCTGAGGGATGAGCTGGAGGAGAATCGGGAGAAGTCAGCGAGGGAAAGGGACGATTTGGAACGGATCTATCGAGTGATCTCCATTGGAAACGATCGCCACTTGAGGAAGTACTATTGGTTTGCATATAGCTCGGATGCCGGGATTTGGGTCCAAGATGTGAGTGTTTTGAGTGGAAAAACTGGAAAAATCGGATCAGAATGATGGATTTTGGCTTAAAATTACAGATTTTAAGCTGAAAATGATCAATTTTGAGCTGAAAATGATCAATTTTAGGCTGAAAATGGTCAATTCTGGCTTAAAATGACAGATTTTGAGCTGAAAATGGTCAATTTTGAGCTGAGCAATGATCAATTTTGGGCTCGAAAATGACAGATTTTGAGCTGAAAATTGCCAATTTTGGGCTGAAAATGGTCAATTTTAAGCTGAAAATGATCCATTTTAGGCTGAAAACGATTTACCGCGAAAAATGACAGTTCTCAAGCCATTTTTGACCGATTTCAGCCCAATTTTTGCGATTTTCAGTGATTTTCAGCCCCTGAACCATCGATTTTTTGCAGTTTGGCACGACTTCCTACGAGAAATGGGTCCGCGATTGTCGTGAGAAGGGATTCATGGACATTGAGTCGTTGGATGTGGAGAATCGACCCGAATATGAGGATTTGTGAGCCATTTTTGACTAATTTTTCTCGAAAAACAGGCATTTTTGACCATTTTAAGCATATTTTAAGCAAAAAATCCGATCAAAACCGCTAAATATCGCCTAAAATGCCCAAAAACGGCAAAAAATGGCGATTTTTCAAAAATCGTGCTCACATGGCCTAGTGGGATTTTCGACAAAACATTTGAATCTAGAGGTCGCGGGTTCGACACCCACCGGTGGCAACTTCTTTTTTAAAATGTTTTCCGGGGGTTTTCAGGGGCGGGGAGTTCGAATATCGAGCTTTTAAGCTTTTTCAGCTAGATGACTGATTTTTGGCCTTTTTCGATCATTTTTTGACCACTTTTGATTGATTTTGGACGAAAAACAGACATTATGACCTCCAAAATGTCGTAATTGGCTCTAGAAAACTACAATTTCGGTCTTAAAAACCCCAATTTTTACCTCAAAAATCACAAATATTCGTCCTTTTTCGACCAAAAATGAGCAATCTAGATCGATTTCTGCCATTTTTTAACGTTTTTAGCCTATTTATACGCCCAAAAACCCAATTTTCAGAGCCAAAAACTAAGGCTGAGCAATCAAAACTGCTCCAAATTGTGCAAAAACCGCTAAAAATCGCCAAAAAACCGCCAAAAACGAATTTTCCAAAAATCGTGCTCACATGGCCTTGTGGGATTTTCGACGAAACATTTGAATCTAGAGGTCGTGGGTTCGACACCCACCGGTGGCAACTTCTTTTTTAAGTTTTTTCTAGGGGTTTACGAGGGCGGGGAGTGAGCAATTTGGATCGATTTCAGTCATTTTTGAGCTATTTTAAGCCTTTTTAAGCCTATTTTCAGCCAAAATTCCTCATTTTCAGACCCATCACGTCATCAGAATGCACAGAAGTCTGGTATAAGCTGGATACGGAGTCCGACGTCAAGGAGCTCCTCCAATCCCTGGCGAAGAACGGGAAACGCGAGAAGCCGCTGAAGAAGTACCTCTCAAACAATTTGGACGACATTCTGTCGAGTATTCGGAAGCCAGTGAAGAAAGAAGACGTCAAGAAGGTGACGCCAGAAGACGTCGTCACGACGGATTCAGAATCCATGGAAGATGAGCAATTGGGTGATGAGACTGCCGAGGAGGAGGCTCCAGTGGTTTCCAAGTTCCAGGGACCATTTGGATCCCTTAAACAGACGATGATGGACTTCCTGAGGGATTATCAGCAGTCTGGAATCACTAAAATCGGAGATTTGCAAGTTTTCGAGGGACGACTTCTGGATGCTAATAACTTGGACGAAATGGTAGGAAATTCGGTATTGTTTGAGCAAAAAGAGCTTAAAAACCCCCTGAAAATGGTCCTAAAACTGCTAAAAATCAGCTAAAATGCCCGAAAACCCCTCAAAAAACCAATTTTCCCAAAAAGTGTGCTCACATGGCCTAGTGGGATTTTCGACGAACTTGGATCTGGAGGTCCGGGGTTCGACACCCACCAGTGGCCACTTTTTTTTGAAACTGTTTTTTGGGCTTTTCGTGGGCGGGAAGTTCGAAAATCGAATTTTTAGAACCGTAATTCTAAGCTGAGTAATCAATTTTAAGCTGAGCAATCCAATTTTTCTTCCAGAAACGTCTGTTCATCGAGCTGGTGACCTCGATTCCAAAAGAATGCTTGATTGAGAAATACAAAATGGACGTGGCTCTTGTGAAAAGTGAGTTTCCAGGCATTCTAGGGGTCCCTGGTTCGATCCCCGCTGTGGCATCGCAATTTTTTACTTTTTCGATTTTTGGATTTTTCACGTTTTGTCACATTTCCAGGCGATTTCCAGCTGTTTTTGATGCTTTTTTCGAGGTTTGGAAGTCCGAAAATGCCTGAAACCCTTCATTTTTGGGGGTCCCTTGTTCGATCCCCGCTGTGTCATCTAATTTTTTTTTGATTTTTTGATTTTTTGAATTTTCATGAATTTAGCATTTCTAGGTTATTTTTAGCAGTGTTAACTGAAAATTTAAGGCTGAGCAACCTCGGAAAATCTCTAAAAACTCCCAATTTTCTTCCAGAATGCTTCTCGCACCTCATCATCCCACGCTTCTGTCGTCGTGTGGAAGAAGCTAAGAATCCGTCGTGTCTTCACATGCTTCTGGCCTATTTCGATGCACGAATCGATCGTCAGAGGACGTTACCAGAGCTGGTGAGTTGGGAAAACTCGAAAATTCCAGGAAAATTGGCTGAAAATCGGCTGAAAATGACCCTAAAACTGGAAATTGATCATTCTCAAGAAAAAAGGCGTTTTCAGCATTTTAGGCACTTTTTAGCTATTTTTGATGCTTTTTTCGGGTTCTAGAGGTTCAAAAATACCTGGAAACCTGATTTTAAGGGGTATCAGGTTCGATCCCCGCTGTGGCATCGAAATTTTTGAATTTTTTGATTTTTCAAATTTTCACCAACTTCACATTTCTAGGCTATTTTCAGCGGTTTTCAGTGCAATTTTCATGTTTAGGTGGTCCAAAAATACCCCAAAAATGTCTGAAAGCGGCTCATTTTGACCTATTTTAAGCTGAGCAACGACCCTATATATTTCCAGCCATGCCAAGTGTGCCGCAGAAAGAACGGAACCCAACGAAAGCTGATGTGCAAGCAGTGCGCTACCGTATTCCACTACAATTGCCACCGACCGGCGATCAGTCCCGCGTTGTTTGAGGAGGAAGGATTTAAGGAGCGGTTAGTGCTGTTTTTTTGGCTGAAAATTATGGGAAATTCCGTGAAAAATGAGCAATTTTAAGCCATTTTCAAATATCCGGTTTTCTAGGCCACCTACCCAAAAACTAATGAGATATTTGAATTTGTCATTCAATTTCCTTTAAAATGAGCCCCATATTGACTATATTCGGATAACTTTGAGTTTTAGGGCACACACGAAATCTGGTCTGGCCTAAAATTTGAAGTTTCGGGATTTCTAGGCCATCTACCCGAAATTTGATTCTAGAATCGCTTTTTTCGGCTTATTTCGGCTTATTTTCGAGCATTTGGGGGCTCCTACGAAATTTTCAAAATTTCAAAATTTCGTGAGTGCCCCAAAAAAATTGAAATTCTTCAAAATGGTCCTAAATAGGTCAATATGTGGCTCAAAATGACGGAAATTCGATGGGAAACTCGAATTTAGCAGTCTTTTTCTTTGAAAATTCAATTTTCCAGAGTATCCTAAGGGTCTCTGGTTCGATCCCCGCTGTGGTATCGAAATTTTTAAAATTTTTTTTATTTGCTGTAAATCGATTTTCGGGATTTCTAGGGTGTTTTAAGCAGTTTTTCCATCTGAAAATCCCGATTTTTTCAGTTGGTGGTGTGCAAAATGCACCAAAGAGGATCGTCGTCGTCAACTCGAAGAGGCCAGGGCCAAAACTGAAGAGAATCGAGGATCCGGGGACGAAAGCGCGGGTTCTGATGAGGAGGAAGAAGACGTGGATATGCTGGACGAGGAGGAGCAGATGTCCCGAGGAAGAAGCGCCAAGCGAAAGGCCAACGCGGCGATGAGAGACGTTTTGGAGTTTGAAGGCGTGCTGAGAGCCCCGACACAGCCGCCAGCGCCCAAGAAAGTCAAGAAGGACGTCGTGCCGGTGAGAAATCTCTTTTTTGACTGAAAATGACCCAAAAACTGTCAAAATGGACTCTAACCTAAGAAAAAAGGCATTTCCAGCAGTTCTATGCTGTTTTAAGCGCATTTTTCTGGTTTAGAATGTCTAAAAATACCCATAAATCGCTGAAAATCGACCTTTCCCAGCTATTTTTGGGGTCCCTGGTTCGATCCCCGCTGTGGCATCGAATGTTTTTGCTTTTTTTATTTTTGGAATTTTCGTAAATTTCACACTTCTAACCTATTTTTAGCTGTTTCTAAGGCTTTTTTGAGAGCTTGGAGGACCAAAAACAAATAGAAACCTTATTTTTGGGGGTCCCTGATTCGATCCCCGCTGTGCCATCGAAATTTTTTGCTTTTTCGATTTTTCGAATTTTCGTGAAAATCAAATTTCTAAGCCATTTTAGGGTCATTTCTAGCCAATTTTTACTCCAAAAACCTGTAAATTTCGTCCCAAAACTCATATTTTCATGTTTTCAGGAGGTCCAAGAGCTATTCGACTCCATCGAACGGGCCAATCCCCGTCTCTACAAGCTTATCCAGACAGTGCCATCTCAATCGCGCTCCACACGAAACTCCACCCACGAATGTCGCTCTCTGATGGAGATCGAGGAGGATTTGGACGTCTACACGTCTGCGGATCAGCTCCACGACCATTTGACGCAGTTCTTCCAGCACGCGCGCGGATGGGTCGAAACTCATAACTCGCGAAAGCTCGACGACCTGGATGACCTCATTTCGGAGCTAAATTTCGTTTAAAAACTGAAATTTCAGTTGAAATTCCCCATTTTTTGATATCAAAATCATGAAAATCGACCCAAAATTACCCCCTGAAATATCATTTTTTCCCCATATTTTCGTCATTTTTTTGGCTTAATTACCCCATTTTTTAATTTATTTAACCTAAAATTAGAATTTTGCGCTGAAAAATGGCCAAAAATTGGATTTTTTGAGAATTTTGGTTTTTAGAAACTTTCAAAATTTTCAAAAAAATTCAAATTTCCCGCCTAATTTTTCATGGCAAATTTCAATTTTTCTCTCAAAAGTTTTCAAATTTCCCGCCCCTTTCTCTCATCTGTCTGAATCTCTCTCTTTCCCCATTCATTTTTTCTGGAATTAAAAAAAAATTTCCAGTCAAAATTGATTTTTTCAACTTTTCTCCCTTTAAAATGGCATTAAATACTCATTATCTGATTTACACACTTCATTCATTACATTTTTTCGATTTTAATCTGAATAAAGTGGACATATTGCGAGAAAACCCAAAAATTTGGAGAAAAAACGACTGAAAATGAACGAAAATCGCACAAAACACGAAAAAATGCAAACGCGCTCCATTGGACACTGACGAGAGAGTCTGCAAAGCGAGGAGGGTGGCGAGAGCAACGAGAGGGTTGGGAAACCGGATTTCAGCCAATTTTCGCGATTTTCGCCGCTTTTTTTCGGTTTTTCCGTTAGAAATCACTGATTTCATCGAATTTTTCATCATTTTCATGCTATTTTACCCCTAAAATCCCGAAAAAATCGATTTTTAGCGCGGCATGGAGCCTGATATCGAGCCATGGGATCGATTTCGTGATTGGCTCCATTGTATCTGTGTGGTGACGTTTGATTTGGAATTGGGACAAGCTCTAGAGGTAGATATCGCTGAAAAATTCAAATGTTTCAATTCAAAATTGGAAATTTTCATAAATTTTCAATTTTTGAACGATTTTAGGGGTTTCTGGGGGGTTTTAGAGGTTTCCGGACCCAAAAAATCAATGGAAAATCAAAAAATCAGTCTAGAAACCCCTAAAAACCTCTAAAAACTTCAGAAAAAATTTTTTTTTCAAATTTTCAAATTCCCGCCCGACCATTTCCAGGTCATCTATCCGGGCGACGCGATCCTCTCGAACACTGAAAAAATCAATATTTGCTATCTGGCGTTTCCGGACTCGAACTCCAGCAACGCGCGGGACACCAATTTTCATTTTCGGATCCGCAGGTTGTTGGTTTTTCGGCCGAAAATCGCTGAAAATCGCTGAAAATCGATTTTTCTGAAAGTTTTAAGCTGAAAATTTGAAACCTAGAGGTCAATTTAGGCTGGGAAAGGTTTGGGAAATTTTAGAAAAAAAATTTCTTTTTTTGCAAAAAACGATTTTTAGGTCTAAAAATGAAGTTTTGAGCGGTTTTGAACACGAAAAATTGCTGAAAATCGTCATTTTAGCCCTAAAAGTTGATTTTTCAGAAAAAAATTTTCAGAAAATTTCAGCCAAAAAATTTTCAGAGCCATCAGTGACGTCAGAAGTTGTCAGAAGACGTTCGTCGACAAATCGCCGTCCTCTTTGCCCTTTGATTCGCACTATCTCTATGGATTTGTGCACTTTCGGCAGTGTAAAGACGCCACCATTCATCGTGGCTATTATCAGAAGGTTTGTGGTGCTGAAAATGTCTGAAAATGTCTGAAAATGTCTGAAAATACTGGAAATCTAAGAAATTTCACTTAAAAATCTGAAAAATACAGAAAAAACGAGCCAAAATGACCTAAAACAGCCAAAGATAGGTCCATGGCCTAGAAACCCCGAAATTTTGATTTCTAGGCCACCGAACCTCACCAGAATCAAAATTAGATGCTGAATTCGAATTTCCCTTTTTTTTTCCTTCAAAATGAGCCCAAACACGACTAAAATTCGAGAAAAACTGATTTCCAGAATTTTCGAAAATTCTAAAATTTTTGAAAATTTCTGAAAAGCAAATTTTCTCAAATTAAACCGAATTTGGGCTCATTTTGACGGAAATTCGATGGAAAATTCGAATTCAGCAACCAATTCCGATTCTGGTGAGGTTCGGTGGAATATNCATATGTGGGGGAGTAGACACTAATTTTAGAATGGGTCCCTAAAATTTTAAAGTGAAATACATTTTTCTCCGTAGCTTTGACAGGTAGGTTTTTAGTTCAGGTGACAATTCCGACTCCTAGTTTTAAAAAAAATCTTATAAAAAATTAACTAAAGCGCTTTTCTGAAAATTTCGTTGCACAGGAAATACCTACTTGCACTAATATAGG